CACATTTGTAAAATACAAAGCATGTTCCTTTCCCCAAAAGCAACTAGAGTCGCATTTCTTTGGTTAAGAGTGGCCTGGCTGAAACTACTCCTTGTGACATATTTAGGGTGTGTCTTTAATAGCAAAATGTACACATCCCATAAAACAAACACTTTAAGAATGAAACCACCATTTCTTGCAACACCTTTCAAACACCAATGAGGAAGAGTTAACTGTGACCTTCAAGAAATTATCTTCCCGTTGACGAATGGTTAAGTTCACGTGCTCTGCTTCAGCAGCCCAGGGTTTCGCCAGTTCAAATCCTGGGGACAAACATGGCACCACTCATCAAGCCATGCTGAGATGGCATCCCACATGCCACAACTAGAAGGACCCACAACTAAAAATACACAACTATGTACCGGAGGGCTTTGGGAAGAAAAAGAAAAAATAAAATCTTAAAAAAAAAAAAAAGAAATTATCTTCTCAAGGGAACTTCTTTTATTTTACAGAAAATAAGCCCTCATGGTAATAGAGAACTAAAAACTCTGCTTTAATAAAACCTCTTCAGTAAGAATAGAACTTCTGCAGGGCAGGGGACCCAGCATGCTCTTTGGGGACCACAGAATGCTTTTCCTTCCCCAGAAACCATGTAAAGGACCATTACCTCTAGCACACCTATGGTGAGGCTCTAAGAGGCTTTCTGATGCACTCCAATGGAATGGGCAACTCTCCCTAATTATTTAAGGATAGAGAAAATTAAGTCACTCGAGAACTGTAGAGTAGCAGCAAAATAGAACCCTTGAGTTACCCTGCTAGCATGTTCAAAGACAGATCACAAGTCACCTTCTATCAACCCCAGTTATGGCTGGTAACAACAGAGAATGGTTTAGATTTTTCTAAATATGCACGTGTATATATACATATGACTCAAGAAGGTGGAGTGAAACCCTCAATGACCACCATTTTATAGTAGGACCCAGAAAACAGGCAACATGGTGGGTCCTGTTTTTCCCCCCACATCTAGAAATCCATATTCTGAGATAAACAGGACTACTACAAAAGAATGACCAGACTTCCAGAATACCACCCAGACAATCATCAGGAGTTAAACACCTTACAGCAAAACTTACATTTTAATGTGGAAAGGAAGGGACTCTTAACTCTGATCCTACAAAGCAGCTCTTCTCAATAGCATTCATTAATATGAACGGCCTGTCAACGTAGGTCAGACTTCAGTAGAGAACACTGGCTGCCATTTTGGGGAAACAGTTCACACAGTTCTAAATCTCTCTGCCTAGCAAATTCTGAGGAGATGAAAGAAGGCAGAGAACCACAGAAGTGCCCCTATAGGAAGACCACTTTCCATCTGTATGTTATTTGGCTTTTCTAAGCACTATCTCATGAGACCTTCACAGCAACGACCCTGCAAGGTAAGCAGGACAGGTATTATCTCCATCTTACAGGTGAAGAAATGGTGACTCTGAGGCTAAATGACTCACTTGCTCAAAGTCACAAGTCAGGCGGTTAATTAGCAGCCCAACCAGGAGATGAGCCCAGCCCTCTGACTCGCTGGCCAGTGCAATCTCCAGTACACTACCCAGCTTCCTTATGTTTTAGGGTGAGAGGCAGTAGAGCGTAATGGTTAAGGGCCCCAGTTCTGAAAGTGGCAGATGTGCATTCCAATCCCAGCTCCACTACCTATTAGCTATCTGACCTTGGGCAGGTCCCTTAACCTCCCCCTAAACCTCAGTTTCCTCATCCATAAAATGGAATAAAAATAGTCTTACCTTACAGAGTTATAGTGATTATTAAATGAGATGATGGACACAAGGCACTCAAATTCATTCACTCAACAAGTATTTGTGCCAGGCACACACAGTGCAGGAGTTATAATAGTCATCAAGAGGCACAGTTCTGCTCTCATGGAGCTCAAAATTTAGTCAAATTAAACAGAAAAAGTAAACAAATAAGTAAAATATACAGTGTGTTAAGTGCTATTAAGGTAACAGGTGAGTGACTGGAGAGATTAACAGGAGGGAGCCAACTTTTAAGAGTGGTCTCTGAGAAGAAATTTAAGTTGAGCTCTAAGAAATTAGAAAGAGTTATCCACGTACAGAATGGAAGGGAAAGCATTCCAGGCATAGGGAACAGGGCCTGTAAGGGTCATAGCCTGGGGAAGTGTAGGAACTGAGAGAAGACAAATGCGACTACTGTGTATCTTCACAGGATTTGGGGGATGACCTTTACAGTCTGGCTGCAAGGATTACCACGTCTATTTTAAAAATAACAAAGACGAGGCTCAAGAGAGGTGATGTGTCTTGCCCAAGGTCACAGCTACTCAGAGAAAGAGCTAGGACCCCAGTATTCTACCTCCTGACACAACATCAGTTCACTCCCTTTGAGGAAGACTCGCACACACTGAACTCCCCCACTTATTTGACCGACAACTGTTTTCAGTGCCCATGAAGAGTTCCAAAAGCACCTTGAAAACACAAGCAAATGCATCACATCAACTTCCAGGCATCTAGTCAATTGTGCATCGAAATCCTTACCCTTCTACTCTTAAGACACAAAAACAAAAACTGCTCAGATCTTACTGAAAGGCTTCAAAATAGAAACAAGCTTCTCTTCCGACAGCAATGAACTAGAGAGGAAAGGGATGTCCTGGAAGGAAGATCCCATGGCCTGTTCCAGAAGGTGAGAAGGAAGAGTGGAAATACAAAGGTTCATCTCAAATGAACTGCATAGGAAAAAATACTTTATTTGAACAAAAGAACGAATCCCTAAAACAGTGGTTCTCAGTCAGGGTGACATCCTCGCCACGCCGCAGAGCATTTGGAAATTTGTGGGGGCACTGAGTGGGCAGGGCCAGGCACGTTCGATGTCTTGCAGAAAGGACAGGATGGGCCTATAAAGAATATAATACCCAGGGCCAACCCGGTAGCTTAGTGGTTAAGTTCGCGTACTCCGCTTCAGTGGCCTGGGGTTCACAGGTTCGGAACCCCAGGCATGGACCTAGCACCACTCATCAAGCCATGCTGCGTGGCATCCCACGTAAAAGAGAGGAAGACTGGCACAGATGTTAGCCGAGGGCCAGTCTTCCTCACACACACACAAAAGAATGTATTACCAAAAATATTAATACCAGCCCCCCCTTTTCCTGTATTCCCATGGTTCAGTGGCTCTTCCTATACTCACCAGAACTGGATGAAAAAAAATTAAACTAAGGTTTCACAGCTGAGGAGTCTGTAATTTGGGACTCTAACTGTAAGCTTATAACTCCAGCATGGAACCCGGTGGTAAAATAAGGAAAAAGAAGTTTCTAGTAAGAGGCAGACAAGAAATTTTAGCAAAAAGAGAACTGCTTCCCCAGACCAGCATCTTTAAGGTTACATTTGTTTTGCAGCACACAAAATTCTAACTGTGATTTTAGAGAAGCTTCTTATAGTGCCTTTCAGTTTAAAATCAGAGACTAATGACAGTTCTTTTAAAAACTTAACCAGTCATCTCACAAACACAACTGAGTCTTTCTGGATCAAATTTCATGAGAAAGATTATTAATTTCAAGATGTCTAAAGCTGATCAAATAGCTAAAAGTGCCAAAAGCAGTCATGCCTTGCATCTCATTCAGGGCAGAGTTTGATGCAGGTCAGAGAAGCTCCAACGATATCCAGAGGTCTATTCAGAGATTAAAATACCATCCTAGCAATTCAAAAACTACTTTCAAGTGTTACCCTAAATTAATCACTATTTCCCCCAAAAAATATTTCACAAATTAAAGTTTACAGTTTGAGAAAAGTTTGGAAAAAAAAATCCAGACTATTTCCAGAAATAAAAAAGAGAGCCAAAAAGGTCTACTCTATTTCACAATAGCTAGAACAGTGACCCAATCGATAAATCCTCCATAAAGCAATCTTTCTTCCACACAATACCTAAATTTTCTCAGCTCTCCCAAAGGAGTCCGAATATGTTAACTTCTTCACTGCAACTTGCCAATTAGCAAATAGCGGCCCCACACCCCTTTTGACCAGTTTTCTAGAAGCCTAACCTGGCTTCGCATGTTAGCTGAGCAGACAGACCTGTTTTCCTCCAGAAGCTCTTGCCAGCGCCTTTTCTGCCCTGCCAGAGCCTGGGAAATCCTCCTCCAGCTTTTCACTGGCCTGTCACCAGAAGTTCACAAAATGAATTCATCCAGATTCTTTGAATCCTCCTCTTCCCCTATCATGTGCCAAGAGCCCGGCGACAAAATCCCACCTCTCCATTGCAAAAAGATGCAGATTACAGAAAGACCAACCACTTAGCAAGGAGAGGAAGAAAAAAGATGGAGGGATGTGACAGTCATTGAGCCAAGCCTACTGCATGCAGCACGAGCGACCAGAACCCTCATCCTGCAAAGCCTCCAAGGGAGGTTCCCGGGCTGGGCCCTCCATTCAGCAGGCCACACCTGTCTATGCCAGCAGCCTGCTCCATTTTAGACAATTCAAACCGATCTCCAGCAGGGTGGCAAAACTGGGCATCCCCCTCTCCCAGAAAGGGTGAGAGCCCTAATCCAAACACCACACGCCCCCAATTTTATTTCTTTCCACACTCTTTGTTTGGGAGATGGGCTTGGTCAGACTGGATCCCCCTCTCTCCGTTAACGGTGAGGAGGGCACAATGCTGCAGTGACAGAATGGAAGCACTGAGGCCGACTTGCTATAAGCCACACAAGACCTCTCCTCTGAGGATGGTGATGCCAACGGATGGGACTTCAATTGGCAGGTTTCACTCTGCCCATCCACAAGTGAACCAACGCTTGAAGTCCTAAAACGCCCGGCTCCGCAGCCTGGCAGAAAGCATCTTTTCTAGAGAGTAGGTATCCCATTCATCCCTTGGCTTTGGAAACCAAAGGGAAGACAGATAGATCCAGGTCGTGCGCTCTACATCCAAACCTTCGCAAGCGCGCGAAGGTTTGGGGCGCCGCGGCGCGCCCTCCCTTGCACTCCACCCTCCGAGGCCTCCACCACCCGCGGACTCACCACTGTGCGAGCTGAACCACCTGGGTGCGATGTGCAGAGGTAGAGCATCCGCCAGCGAGGCTCGGGAGCCCAGGTACAGCATCCCGTCTCTATGGTGACCGCCGCCCGTCTCCTGGTAACCATTGCCATGGGCATAGGTGGAGTCGGACGCGGACCCTCCGCCGCCGGGCGCCCTCTCGGAGTCGCCGGTCCCCCGGGAGGCGGGGGTGTAGAGGCCAAAGGACACCCCCCCGGCCGTGCTGGGGTCCATGCCCATGCCCGCCACCGAGCTGACCGAGCGGCTGCGCAGCCCCATGGCCCCGCCGCCGGCCCGGTAGTGCCCAAAGTGGGGCGCCCCTCCCGGCGGGGGCACGGCGCTGTCATCAGTGGAGACCCCCGGGAAGGGGCCCCGTGAGCGGGCCGCCGTGCTCTGCTTGCCCCCCATGCTCGCCCGGGCCCCGGTAGGGCGGGAACCTGGAGGCCGAGACCCTCCCCCACTTCTCAGCAGCGGGGGGAGGGTTGGGCGAGCATAAAGGGGGAGGGAGTCAAAAAGGAGATCGGGAGGGAAAAAAGGGGAAAAAAAAAAGAAAAAAGAAAAGAAAACCCGCCGGGCGGAAGAGGCAGGCGGGCGGGGATCCCAAACTAAGAATTTAAAACGATCCAAGCCAAACGCATGTTTCCCCTCAAGGTCCAAAGAGGCGCAGTCCGGCGCGGGCTCGGCGCGCCACAGGCCGCCCCCGGGCTCCCGAAAGCCGGCCGAGCCGCAGGGAAGGAGGGAGGGAGGCGGCGGGCGAGCGGGCGGGCGGGCGCGGGGAGGCGCCAGAGGAGGCCGCCCGCCCGGCAGGAGGAGGCGGCGGAGGGCTGGGGGCGCCGGGCGCGTCCCCCGCCTCAGGACGCCGCGACCATGGACGGCGGCCCGGACCCCTCCAGGCCTCGGGCGGGCTGCGGCGCTGGGCGGCCAGGCGGAGCTCGGGAAGCCGCGGTCGCGTCGCGTCGCGCTCTCACTCCGGCCGCCGCCGGCCCCGCCAGCCGCGCCGCCCCGCTCGGTCCCGGGCTGCGCTCGCCGGCGCTCCTCGCCGCCGTGGAGACAATGGAGGGCGGCAGAGCGCAGGCGCGGCCCGCGCCCCCTCCCCCTCCCCCCCCGCCGGGTTAACCCTTGGCGGCCCCTGCGGAGCCCGGCAGCTGTAGGCCGGGGAGGTCCCCACCCACCCAACCCCGACCGGTCTGTGACCTGAGTGGCTGGAGCCACAGGGCGTCAGGAACGGAGGCAAGGCGTCTTTTCAAAGCAAGCACTCTTTAAGTCCCCAAAAGTGGCTAATTATTCAGGGGGAACCACCTGTGGGGGGAGGGGTGACGATGATTCCAGGGGGTGGGAAGGAAACCCAAGGAAGAATGAAAATTACTCAAGACGCCTACCTGGCTCTGAGGGTCATTGGTCAGTCTCCCCTCCCAGCACAAATTTGCCCCCACAGCACCCTCTGGTGGACGTGCTGTCCGTTCTTTCGGAGATTCCCCATCCGAGGATGCCTAAAATCGGGAAGCTAGTTTAGCATTGGGAGGATTTTTGGCTGTTTGCGGGTAAACAGCGCACTAGGGCACTTGTGACTCGGAATTCTGCTGACAGTAGATTAGAACTTCCTATTTTGGGGTTAAGCAAACGGGTAGATTCCTTAGCTAAAATGTGATCCTGAAAGTCATTAGGTATTGGATAAAAAGTGAAAAGATAGAGATATGAAAATGAAATAATGTAGCTAGAACTAGTGATTTTAGAAACTTCCTAAGTCCAAGGCGAGTCCCGTTTTGTTTACTTTTTATTCTGGTATGCACCACAGGGCCTGGGACACAGGAGGTACTCAATAAATGTTTGTTGACCAAGGCTGAATTTTGCAATATGTCTGTCTAACATTCACATTCATTCATTCAACAACTATTTTTCAAGTGCTGAGGGCTGGCTATGAGCATCACCCAGCCTCTGGCCTGACTTCCTTATTCTAAATGTCCCCAGCTACTTCCTAATCAAAAAGTCAAAACAGGGTATAGAGAAATACTAAGAGAAAACCAAAAAGGGAGGGCTAGTCTGTCATAGGTATTGATTGTCCCAGTGTGACTCACTTGGAAAGAAACAGGAGGAAAGCTATTTGCAAGCATGGAGTGCTTGGGGGTGAGCAAAAGGCCCTGCAGACAGGAGCTGAGCGTTCAGTGTGAGAAATGAACATAGGAAAAAACAAAGTGTTCCAATACCCAAGAAATTATCTTTAGTGGCTAAATGAGGAATTTGTGCACATCTAAGATCCAAATGAGTGATCTGAAGAAAAACAAGAAAGCTTACATTTAACCCAATGACCTCCCTAAAGAGAGACGATGGTAACAGAAGAGGGGTAGTTCAGTACTGTACAGAAAAAAGGATGCTAGCTCTCTTGAGAGATTTCTGTTGGTGAGATAAATACACAATAGTATTGTAACCATGTAATAGCTTTTGATTTAACTATTCATTCAACACTTTTTTAGTGTTGAACAAAACATGAATGTCTCATAAGAGTGGGGCACTGCACTAGGTTCTGGGATACAGTGATGAGCAAGACAGACAGAGTCCTTGTTCTCATAGAAATGCAGAAGAAGCATTTCACACCCACTAAGATGGCTGTAATCAAAGAGGACAATAAGAAGTGTTGGTGAGATGTGCCAAAATTGGAACCCTCACACCTTGTTGATGGGAATGTAAAATGGTACAGCTGCTTTGGAAAACAGTCTGGCAGTTCCTCAAAGAGATTAAACATAAGAGTTATCATATGACCCAGCAATTCTACTTCTATGTGTATTTCCAAAAGAAATGAAAACATATGTAAAAACAGAAAAACTTGTACATGAATGTTCATAGCAGCATTAGTTGAAATAGGTAAAAGTAGAAACAACCCAAATGTCCATCAACTGATGAAAGGATAAAGCAAATGTGGTATATGCATACAATGGACTGTTGTTCAGCCATAAAGAGAAATAAAGCGCTGACACATGCTACAACGTGGATGAACCTTGAAAATATTATACTAAGTAAAAGAAGCCAATCACGAAAGACCACATATTGTATGATTCCACTTATACGAAATGTCCAGAATAGGCAGATCCATTGAGATGGAAAGATTAATGGTTGCCAGGGCCTAGAGGGAGGGAAGAATGGAGAGTGGCTGCTAATTGGTTTCCTTTTGGAGTGATGAAAATGTTCTGGAATTAGATAATGGTGATGATTTCGCAACCTTGTGAATATACTAAAAACCACTGAATTATACACTTGAACGGATGAATTTTATGGTATGGGAATTACAGTGCAATTTTATGGTATGTGAATATATATATGAAGTATTGAAGCAGGCAGTGACGATACAGCATGATAAGTCTAGAACAGTGCCTGGCGTGCAGCTGGCACTCAATAAATATTTTCAAATGAATGAATGAATAACTAAGGGCTATGAGAGTGAAAAAAGCACAGTGCTGAGGGAAGGAGACAGGCACAAACACAGTGATTCCAAGCCAAGACCTAAAAGGTGAATGGGAGATTAGCCAGGGAATGGGGTAGGGAAGAGAACTGTGTTTTAGGAAGAGAAGAATGTTCCAAGCAAAGGGAACAGCATGTTTGAATGTTCGAAGGCCTAGAGAACATGACATCTTCAAGGAACTGAAAGATGCAGCAGAGCTGCAATTAGAGGAGGTAGGAGCCAAGGATGAAGCTGGTCCTCAGAGTCAGACAAGAGCATCCTGTGAGCCATGGTAGGGAGCATGGACCATATCCATATATTTCTCATCTTATATATTCATAAAGATACTAGATGGAAACAAGAAATGATATAAGGTAGTACCCTGGGGGGTGGGCAGTAGGAACTGGAGAGTTGGGTGACAGGATGGATGAGAAATATTTCACTTCATTATATACCTTTTTGTATTTTAGTGTTTGAGCCATGTAAATTTATAGAGAGATAGAGAGAGAGAGGTATACATAAAGTGTATCCCACATGAGCACTAAAAAGTCACACAGCTAGTAGGAGCAGAGCTGGACTTCTAAGCTTTACAGTGAAGATGCTCATCAAGAAATCTTTGGGGATCGTCCCGTTGGCAACAACATGGATGAAATTCGAGGGTATGATGTTAAGCAAAATAAGCCAGGCAGAGAAAGACAAATACCGCATGATTTCACTCACATGTGGAAGATAACAAATACATGGATAAAGAGAACAGATTAGTGGTTACCAGAGGGCAAAGGGGTTGGGGTGTGGGCAAAAGGGACAAAGGGGCACATATGTAGGTGATGGATAAAAATTAGACTGCTGGGGGTGAGCACGATGAAGTGTATTCAGGAATTGATAAACAATAATGTACACCCCAAATTACACAGTTATAAACCATTATAATCCCAATAAAATTACTTCAAAAAAACAAAGATTCACAATGATGTAAACTATTATGCATCTCAATTAAAAAAATAATAAATAAATAAATAAGAAATCTTTGGGGGACCAGACTGGCAGTGTAGTGGTTAAGTTTGTGCGCTCCACTTTGGCTGTCTGGGGTTCGCAGGTTCAGATCTCAGGTGTGGACCGACACACTGCTCATCAAGCCATGCTGTGGCAGCATCCCACATACAAACTAGAGGAAGATTGGCACAGATGTTAGCTCAGGGACAGCAGTCTTCTTCAAGCAAAAAGAGGAAGATTGGCAACAGATGTTAGCTCAGGGCCAATCTTCCTCACCAAAAGAAAAACAAGAAATCTTTGGATGATGATTTAATTTTCTCTGTATGCTTTCCAATGGTTGAAAAAGATTAGATCTGCTTAACAGCTATATTTCTTTTTGTAAATTAATAATTTGACCTTAAGTGTTATATTCCAGCCTAATGGTTATCGTAAGGCAGTCTCTCTCACATCTGGCACTACTGAACAGCTGAAAGCCTGAACTGCAAATGTGAAGCTTGTATTCTCTGCAATGTGATGACACTAAGCTTAGATGCTCTGTGGGACCCTGAGTAGCAACCTTTCTCAGGCAATGCCCTTGTTATCTCCTTGTGCACTTATTCAAATGACAATTTTCCCTCTGAAATGAAAATATTAAAATACAGAACAGGGAAAGTTCTTCATTCAATAGCTTAATTCTACACTTTACATCTTAGAGAGAGTGACTCATGGCTAGCAACAGGCGTCCACGGAGACCTGAAGCCTCAGATCAGTTTCATTTTGTCATTTGTTGCATCAAGAGTCCAGTATGTGTTTTGCTCCAAGTTTCTCCTGTGGGTTCTTGGTTTAGAGTCAATGGATCTGGGGAGATGTCAAGTCATTTTGGATGCTCTCAATGCAAAGGTATCAGATGCAGAAATGGCCCCAGCTAGATTTGGGACTCTGTTGGTTTATCTTCATGTTCTCACTGACCCTGGGTGAACTGCTGCTTCCTGGCCCTCTTTCAGCTGTGAAACAGGGTTAAGAAACCGTAACCCATCTACCAGAGCAGTCAGGAGAAAGAGCTGATAAACTCGGTGTCGTGGAAGCGGGCAGATGCGAGTGCATAACAACGCTGCAAAGCCCCTGTTTTAAACGTCGCCAGAAGAATATATGTCTGAGACTTGAAGGCTTCAGAAAATGGGGGAAATGGCTTGTTAGGGTCTACTCCTGGGGCGCCTTGGGAAACTCATGGCCTCCTCTCTGTTTCCATGAGCCAGAGGGAGGGGAGGGCTCCCTGAGGCTTTGGAGGGAGCCCCCCCAGCACCTCCTCTGGGGGTGGACATGTGTCTCCCATTAAGAAACTTCCTCCCAGACCTCTCAGAGCTCTTTATATTTTTATTGTTTTGCTTGAAAAGAGGAAACTTAAACAGAGAACACAGGGTAATGGACAACCAAATGGACACAGCAAGGAAACTGAGCATGTGGGCATGTCCAAAATTTTTGTTGATTGATGAAGAGAGGGAAATTACTAGTGGGGGTCAGGGCAGGACTCCAAGATTACCAGATGTAAAGAGACTGAGGGGTCAGCTAACTCCACGTTCTGCAGAAGAGGAAACAGAGGACTAGAAAGATAAAGGATCGTGTTCAAACTTGCAAGGCT